ATATATATAATGACATCAGCTAATCCATCGAAGAGCGCAGCTGAAACTAGTTAAATAAATATGTGTGTTTTATATAACTATGTTAGGCATTAAACTGTTTGACCATGCGCATTAGTAACTGTAAAAAGGTCAATGCTAATGAAGCTAGGTAAGGAAGTATGTGATGAATAAAGTTTTAGCTATTAGCTAATGAAGTACTGTACCAGCCTTGCTGTTCAATTTATCTAAATACTATAAAACATGTTTGGGGTTATGTTATAGAATTTATGCCGTGGATGCTACAAATACAGATTATCCTCCTTCCATCTCGGATATGTCTTCAGTTGAGATATTTCATTAAGATGAATAAAATAGGTTCAAATGTTTTGGCAGGAAGAAGCAGGGAACACCGGTGTGTTATGAATACACCTGCTCAGGTGTAAAGTGCACAAACAAGTGTGATCACATTCCTTCCTCAAACACGGAAATAAGTTAGAGTCGCCGTAAATCATTGAGGTTTTACAGGTTTAGCCCTGACACTCATGGTTTAGTTCCCTCGGCTTTCTTTCCTGGTCTTGTTCTATTTCATTCGGTAGGATTAACCACGCACCTGTCCACAGACACAGGTGTCCTGCCGGAGGAGGGGGCACCTGGAGCTGGAAAACAGATAATTTGTTGTGAAAACATGATCGCTCCTTACCAAGATGTGGACTGAGTGGATTTTTATTGGCCTGTTGGTTCTGCCCTGCGCAGGTAAGACTGAACTAAACTAACCGCAGGAGATTATCTACTGCTTTAAATCACGTTACTCGACTCATTTAGACTTTGTTCCCATAAATAATTAGCTCCTTGGGGCGAGGAAAAGTTACAATGTAAGTTTCAGAATAAAATTTTTATAGTCTCAGGACAACCAGTCAGTAATTCTGAAAATAAATCTTATTATAGAGAAGATCTGATTTATTAAGACAACCATAAAACAACAACGATTCTTTTTGTATGTAAATCAACAAATAACTGTGACAAGAGAAGTATTAAAGACTTAATAATACAATAAACATAAGTAAAATCCCGGGAACAGTACTAAAGAAAAAATATGTAAACTACATTTGAAGATTGTATAAGAATGATTTATTTATTGTATAAAATACTTAGTGAGTGTTTTTATATTCTGTTGTACTATGATTACTCAGAGAAGCAGTGCCATAACTGCTGTACAACGTTGAAGGTGAACAAACTTGTACATCTAAGGGTTAAAATTGCCTTTAATTGTTCTTAAAATTACCTTAAACGGTGGATAATTAAGCAGTTATGTGATTGGTTTGTGAAAACCTGTAAAAAATAGTCCTTATGCTCATATATCCACACTTAATAGGAGTTTATGTTGGGGGGGAAACTGTACGCAAAAAGCTTTTGACATTTTAATAATTTTTTTAATAAGAAAAATGACTTCATTACCAGTTTATGATTGATTTAAGGTCAGTTCACACACCCACACACAAAAACAAACATTGTACACACTAGATCACAAGTTAGTTCTAGCAAATAAGATAAAATAGAACAAATGTCTTAAGAGCTAGACTTGATCAAACATGCTGGCCATCTTATGGGAAAACACAATCTGTTTGCTCATCATAGTGATGAATACATTCATTTGGAGATATGAGGCTCTGCTGCAGTTAAAAAGACTTCAGTCAATCATTACAGACACTTCTCACACTGATACTGGAACAAAAGACTCTTAATAGGTAATTTATGATATGTCTGCCTTTTGATTTGCTATTTTGTTGTTTGTCTTTGATATTTTTTGTTTCATCATCCTAATATGAAACTGTAATACTGTATAGTATAAAATGTCTAAACTTTAGTTTACACAAACAAAGTCTTCTTTCGGCTTTTCTCACTTCAGGGGTCTCCACAGTGAGCCATCCTCCTCTATCTCTGTCCTCTGCATCCTCTGTCCTCACTCCAACTACCTCCATGTTCTCTCTAACTGCATCCATATAGCTCCTCTTTTTCTTTTCCTGGCAGTTGCATTTCTAACATCCTTCTACCAATATACCCACTGTCCCTCCTCTGGACATGTCCAATCCATCTCAGACTGACTCCTCTAAATTTATCTCCCAGTTGTTCAACCTGTGCTGTACCTCTGATGATCTCATTCCTGATCTTATCCATCCTTGTCACTCCTAAGGAGAACCTCAACATCTTCATTTCTGCCACTTCTGTCTTTTTGTCCATGTCTCTGTCTCCAGACCATACAACATAGCTGGTCTCATCACTGTCTTGTAAATTTTTCCTTTGACTTTTGCTGCCACTGTTGTCACAAATCACTCCTGAAACTTTTTCTCCATCTACTTCATCCTGCCTGGACTCTCTTCCTCACCTCTTTACCACACTCCCCATTTTCCTGGATAGTGGACCCCAAGTACTTGAAGTTTATCTTTCTATCCACACCATGGTAAACAGTTTGAACCCTGCTCCAATGCTGCGAGCCTTGCTGCCCTTCCATTTGGTCTCTTGGACACATAAAACATCTACCTTCCTTCTCTGCATCATGTCAGCCAGCTCTCTACCTTTGCCTGTCATTGTCCCCACATTTAGAGTGTCCACCCTCAGTCCTACATTCTTGACTTTCCTCTTCTCCTCTGTCTCCTGACACATTTCCCTCCTCGTGGTCTTCGACTAAAAGCAGCACAATTTCTGCTGGCACCCTGTTTGTAAACAGCACCGGTGGCGATCGTTGTTAACCCGAGCCTGTTGCTTAGATGAACTCGTTTAATAGTTTTGGCAAAAGTGTTTTACATCAGACACCCTTCCCTTCCTGACACAACCCTCACCATTTACCGGGTTTGGGACCAGCACAACAGATACAATGGCTTGTGCTCCATAGTGGGTGGTTTATTTTACTCAAAGTGTAGTTACTAAATTTTCTATGATGCTTTGCATTAATAAAAGCACCAAGTAACAGTTTACCTTGAAAGATTAGAAATGTCTATGAACACTAAACAAACAGAACAAGGTTTTATTAGGGGGGAATGAGAAACGTTTCTTTGAAATTTTATTTTTGAATATCAGAATAGTGGTTTTAGATCATAAAGTTGTTTCATTTTGTTCTCTTGATCTCAGTTTTTCTTTTTGACTGTGATTAAACATCAGTATGAATAATTTTGGTGTTTATAAAAAATACAAGGAGCTTTATTAAATTTCTCTATTGTTTTTTTCACATTCACAAACCTTTTAAAACTCATATGTGTCTCAAATAAAAACTGCAGATTTTACCTCTGTGAGTGAGTGAGTGTGTGTGTGAGTGTGAGAGAGAGAGAGAGAGAGAGAGACACTGTAATTGTAAGGATCAGTCAGACTGCCTCTCAGATTCTGTAGAAAATTTGCTCATTAAAACATGTTTCAAATGTCTTCATTTGAATCTCTTCCTCAGTTTCCACCTCGCAACCCAAACCAATTAAAGTGAGGTTCTCCTCTGTGAACCTGAGGAACGTACTGCACTGGTTACCAGGAAATGATTCGCTGGACACAAAATTTACAGTGCAATATGCTGTGTAAGTCAGGAAGAGCCTAAATTTGACCACGTTATTTAATTAAAAAAAATTTAAAAAGTGCACTAAACCTTGTCTGGTTTTTTATCTACTTTGTCTTTCATAGCTACGGGAAACCTATTAAGAACGCTGAAGGAAAATCTGAAATCTGGAGACCAGTGCAGGAGTGCAGGAAAATAACACGGACTTGGTGCGATCTGAGCAATGAGACAAAGGCCGAGGAACAAGGGTATTTTGCCAGAGTTCGTGCCATAGGGTCGCAATCCTCTTCAACCTGGGTTGTGACACCAAGGTTTGACCCAAAATCAGAAAGTAAGCAACACACACTGGCTTCAGCTGTTCTCTTGCTAGCCTCAGAAACAAGTTTCACAATGTTTGATGCAACATGAATGTTTTTGCAAGGTTGGGCTTGGAGTTTTTAAGTTTAAAAAAAAATTACCCAAAACTCATTTGTGTCTGTCCGTACAGCTGTTTTTGGTGCGCCTGAGGTTTCTGTGGAAATAGAGAACAACAGTGCCATTATCAGTCTGAAGGGACCAATGAGGTATTTATCAAACACTGCAAGGCTTCACCCCATGAAGGAGGTCTACCCCCACATGTCTTACAACCTCTCCATCCACAATACCCACCTCAACCAGGTGGTGAGTAAAAATAATTTACGATATGCTTCTGATCTCGCCGAGCACCAACTTACAGTATTTTTACTCTTGTCCTTTCGTAGCAATATATTCCAGTGGTCACCAGCCCATACAAATATCAGCTGATGGAGTACAATACAAAATACTGCTTCTCTGCCAAGACTAGATTCCTCACCATTCAAATGAAAAGCAAGTCCTCCGTGTGGCACTGCATAACCACGCCTAAAGGTACAGTAATTTGGCACACATGCTCGTTAAAAAGAATCTTTGGCTTCCAGGATGAAGCTAAAAATTGTAGAAAGGAATGTGACGAAACAGGAAACAGAAATCGAAGAGGAATGGATACGTATAGACTTGTTGTTCTGAATGTCACAGCTGGAATGTTAATCCACTGTTTAGTCCAGTTCTTTGTCTTCCTCAGCCCTGGTAAGACGCTTCTGACATTGTCTCTGGTTCAGGAGTGGCTGGACTCCAGGAATGTGACATTTGTAACCCTAGGTTAATTAGCTGATAAGGGGCTGACACCAGGAGTTTCCCATAGACAACTTCATAATATTCTCATTTTCTTAGACACAGAATTTCTTTTTTCATTATTTGTAAGCTATAATCCTCAAAATTACAAGAAATAAAGGCTTGAAATTTTCACTCTATGTGTAATGAATTTATATAAAATGTGAGTTTCACTTTTTGAAATGGTTGACCAAAATTATTGAACATTTTCATGATATTCTGTCTTATTAGATGCACCTGTATAAGTTCAAGTTATTAGTTTAAGTGCGATTTGTAGATATGTAAAGTTAACAATGTGTGGTTTCAACATGTAAACAGTGTTTTGCGAGGGTTAGCACTTAGCAAGATGGCAGCCACAAATTTCTTCTATAGCACCATCAGTGCCCTTGCAGGTGTAATTCCACTTTTATCAAGAAAACTGTCTTAACAGTATTTGTATACTTTATAATAATCTAATTAATTTGCACCACCAGCCAAAGAGCTGTAGTGTCACAGTGACTGAAAGCGTGCTACGATCTCTTCCTCCTTCCAGATCCTGTGATTGAGCAGCTGCAAAGTTCACTTGTGGGGATTGTCGTCCCAGGTCTGTGCATTTGCATGTTTGTGGTGATTGGATACATTCTCTATCACTACCTCACTGGGAATGACCAGAAGATCCCACGTACACTAGTAAGACCTGCACACCTTGGCTGTAAAATTGACCTGAACTTGCTAGTGAACGTTTGTCATGTTCATTTCTTGCACTTACGTCTCCTCAGAAGCAACCTTCCTTCTACCCACCTCCTCTCAAGTACGCTACGGACATTACCCACCTTGTGACCATCACAGAACAGCCACAGTTCTCTAAGCCCCTGCCAGTCATTGATTTAAACCCCCCACCCATATATACCCCTCCAAACCCCAAGGATGATTTAGAAGGTGACTATGGCAGTGTTTCCAGAGAAGGGGATGGCCATGAAGAAAGAGACAATCAGAATATCACGACGTGTGATCACGCAAGTCCCTCAGCTGGTGTTTATGCACCTCAGGTAAATACCTGCAACTGTCGCAGTCTGGCCCATGCAGGCCATCAATTGCAAACCCCAGAGCAGACAGAGGCTGTCTCTTTAATACAGATGCACCTGTGGCCGCAGGTAAATACAACTTTACCACTGCGCCCACATGCACCAGTTCTATCTTCTCAGGAATCAGTAGCAGGAGAGTCTTCAGGTCTGTTTATAAGCAGAAACTCATTTACTGGCCTCTTTGATCTCCATCTGAACCTACATAAACAGAAGGAGGCAGAGGAGGGGAGACGGACCAGTGGAAAAGAAAAGGGAGGCCAGGAAGAAAGAAGTAGCAGCGAAAATGTTCCTCTGCTTTCTGGTTACGCGCCTTGGAATATAACGAACGTGCCTCCAGTCCAATCTGATGAGTCTGATTACTCAGCAGAATACTCGTGTGTTGTGATTCAACCTCCGGCAGAGACAGCAGAGCAAAGTGAGTCGACAAATGGGAGGGAGGGGGGATACGTGCCTATCAGCTGGAGCAGCGAGACAAGTCAGCTAGAGCTGCCACAGCCAGAGGGAGGTGAAGAAATAACTGGAGATAGCATTTTTAATGGAAAATGGGGCTTGGTTTTACTGAACGAGTAGACAATATTCATGAATATATTATCTCAGGCAACACCAGAAGCACCAGGGGGCGGGGTCTCCACACACTTTTCTTTTCTCATCACAGGGAGCTGTTGTCTGATAAGCCAGTGTCGTACTCACCGTGTAACTATCTAAAATGCTTAAAAAAGAAATGATGGGTTATTTATCCAACTCCAGCAGGATATTAATTTAAATGTGTTGATATCCAATATTTATAAGTCATGTTCAAGTCACAGCTTCACTGGAATATTTCTCTAGCATTCTGCCAAAATAGCTGCATGCTCACCACTGACCTTATTATTAAATTTTATTTTTCGGATTCTGTAACACTCAGGCTTCTGTCATTGTGCAAGAGGCGAGTACTTACATAGTAGTTACCTAAACCAAATCAGCTAAGATTTCTTTGTATATTTTGTTGATCAGTCTTCCTGTTAGTTGTATGTAGGCCTGTCACTATAACAAATTTTGCTGAGTGATTAATTGTCTCAGAAATTATTGCGATAAACAATAATAATGTTTGAAATTTGACAATAATTTGTAATTATTGTCAAATTTATGAAGAAATGTTGGTTAATTTGTTTTGCATGTAGTAACTCTTTTTGGCCACTGGATGGCAGTATAAGACTGAATCAAAGGATGGATAGTGAGAGAGCGAGCAGCGTGTCTCTTTAAGTAAAATGGGAGGGAGGCCCCTTGACGTGACATGGGCTGTCTCTCCTTCCTTTATTCGGTTCTCAAATTGGCGGCCGCTCGGTGTTGTTTGAGCTCTTTAGCACAACATTTTTCACACAAAGCTTTTAATAATAAATAAAAAAAATCAGTAAACAAGTTCTCAGCTTCTTTTTGTAGAGAAAAACAACTTTTTACATGAAGGCACGGGTTTCAACTGTGAATTTTGGAGCTTCGACAAGACGGAGGTTTATTCCCGAGGTCGGCCTGTTAGTTTAGCTCGTAGCTTAGCTTCTCAGTTTAGCTGCTTTTAACGATCCAAAAATGGACAGTTAAAATGTGTTTTAAAGAGAAAAGAGAAAGGGAGGAGTCAGTGAAGAGCACCGGAGTTGAACATTTTGTCATCCAGTGTCTTCAGTAGAAAGAGAGAGACGAAGATTAATTAAAATAAATTAAAAAAAGGAAAATAAGCCCTACAGCAGGGCTATTCAACTGGTGGCCCAGGGGTCAAATCAGTTTGAACCACCAATGCGTTCATTTTTAAATGAAACTAGATTTAACCCATAAAACAAACTTACTTAATGACAATAACTGCTGGATGTTGGGCACCTGAGCTCTTGGCTTTCAGTAACTGTGGCCCCCTGAGCAGTTTAGTTGAATAGTCCTGCCCTACAGTTAAAACAAATACTTAGGAAACAATACAAATGATGCATCATTGGATCTCAGCTACAGATAAAATATTTATATATATTTCAACTATTCTTTACAGGTGTCAGAAACAGTGTTCAAAAACAGCCATAAAACAGGGTTACTTTAAAAAAAAATTGTGATCTGATGATTCATTTGAGGATGCTTTCGACACTATTACTAAATAAACTTTATCTTGGGGTTTTGAACTGTCCATGATACACACCTATATGTACTGTATTTACTTTATAGGTTGGTTCCTCTTTAAGCACTCAGACGTTTTTATGGATAGAGAACCTTTTTTTGTTCTGTGTCCGTGATAAATTTGGTTTAACAAAATCCAACTGTGGGATTGTGGACAATTGTGGTAAAACGTTTGTTTCTCTGTAAATGTTTAAGTTGGACCAAAAAGCACTTTATTCGTTAACCTAATCTGTTAGAAGGAAATAAATAACTTGAAGTCATGGCGCTCTGTAAAACAGCCTCATTGTTTTTCTTGTTCGTGTTTCCATCCTCAGTATTATCTGCACTGTCATTCTCTTCTGTTTTTTTTTTCCTGAAACTTGTCGGCTTGTTTTTGAACTGGCACATTCAGAGAGGCGTGTGAAGGTGATTCATGCACGTTTACAAGCTCTCCTGTCACGGTTACCTCCGCGTTCCACCTCCATGAGCACGCTAAATTACAATGACAGTAAATTTACTGACAATAAAGAACAGCAAATACTTACTCTTTCTTTTTTGTGCCCTCATTCAAAGGAAAGCTAAAAATAGGCTGTCACTAAATTAAGGAAATAACTGTCTATATTTGGTGATTTTGTTCCTTTTTTCTGTTTACGTTGTTCTGTTTTAATGAAAATTGAAAAACTATGAATGTGTCAAAGATCTAATGTATATATGGAACTAAACGTTTTATTTTCTTGTTCGTATAAATTTGTCTTTATCAGTATAACCGTCCTAATGTCACAGGAAGGGGGCAATATTAATTATTTAGTTTCAGTGTCTTGTATTTATAGAGTTTACATTGATGACAAATTTGAAGCTGTATTATAATGTTAAACTCTGGGTAAATACTGTTTTATATTTTTACAGTTTCACTTAAATGCACAACAAAATGAATGTAAACTCAAACAATAAACTAAATGCATTACGACTTTGTCATGATTTGCTTTTTGTTCTCTCACTGCAGTTTTTTTATATATCTAAAATGTAGAAAATTTCATAGAAATGTGACCTTTTGTCTGCACTGTAAATTTTTATTCCTGTCTTCAGTTACTCAAGAAGTGTGGACAGAGACACCTGCTGGTCAAACTATAAAATTACACAAGAATTATGTTTGCCATGAAGTTTTGATTTTTTTACATTACAGTATTTTGTCAATCTGTATTAAATTAAAATCACTTTTTTTTCTGGCCAGGTTAGAAATACATATTAATATTTAGACAGTGAAATAACAGATTTACCTCTGAAGTTATTTTTTTTCTTTAAAAAGTTCATTTAGTTAAGTGTGAGGCTACAAATAAAAGAAGTTCAGTGAACACCACACCTTCATTTGTTTCAATATGATGTTTGAGGACTCAACACTTCAGTCTGAAGACATTTCTATCTTTTAAGCATGTTTTAGACGTCTTGTACAAACAAGGATCTTTTTTCTTACACATTTCTTCCACTGATGATGTGTGTGTTTTGTGTGTCAAACTCATCAGAAGAGAGATTTCTGGATCCTAGAAGTCACTTTTAAAAACTCATATTTGACTATTACTCATGCTTAAACATTTATGAACAAATCCTGATATTAGATAGCACAAATGATAGAAATGTGAATAATGAAAGAAGTAAAAAAAATGACATTTAATCCTAAAATGTATTATAGATAATTGGAGAATGATGGCTGCAACCCAAAATGAAAACAACCTTTAAACTTTTTTCAGAACGTTAGCATGAATTATGGATAAAGTTATAACCAAACCGATACATACATTTTTCAGAAAATTGCCATCAAATTCAGAGAACAGGTGTTTTCCACCTGAGGTATAATGGTTGGAGGTTAGTGGAGTTTCTCAAGACTGGAGCATTTTTAATTTAGAGGCTTGTTGATTGTTTAGTCTATAGGAATCTGCAGAAACCCAGAGGTTAAAATGATAAATTAACAATCCATAAAAAAACAAAGCTCTTAACATACTCATGCATATGTAATAATTATCTTTAGACACCTAGTAATGTTGGCATTGTTTTAACATAAAGGTATATTTTAAGACTTTAATCTTGGATTTCCAAGACTATGTTCTCATGGTTTATTTTTATTTGTTATTTACTAAATAGTGTAGCCTGCATTCTCTGTCACTGTTTGTGGGCTATAAACTGACTGTCAAATACATTTGCTGTAATATTAAGTAAACATACCTGCTCAGTGCGGCTGGGGAGAGCTGTCTCGGACACTCGGACTGTAAGCACAGGATCTCCACAGGGCTGTGTGCTTTCCCCCCTGCTTTTCTCCCTGTACACCAACTGCTGCACCTCCAGCCATGACTCTGTGAAACTTATTAAGTTTGCAGATGACACCACCCTCATCGGGCTCATCTCGGACGGTGATGAGTCTGCATACAGGAGGGAGGTGGACCGGCTGGTGACCTGGTGTAGCAGCAACAACCTGGAACTCAGTGCCCAGAAGACAGTGGAGATGATTGTGGATTTCAGGAAAGCCACAGCCCCTCTGCCCCCCTCACCTGTAATGATACCCCCATCACCACTGCAAACTCTTATCGGTTCCTCGGCACAACCATCACCCAGGACCTCAAGTGGGAGCCAACCATCAGCTCCTTCATCAAGAAAGCCCAGCAGAGACTGTACTTCCTGCGGCAGCTGAAGAAGGCCAAGCTGATAGTGCAGTTCTACACGGCCATCATCGAGTCCATCCTCAGCTCCTCCATCATGGTGTGGTACGCCGGGGCCACTGCCAGGGACAGACTCAGACTGCAGCGCGTTGTGCGCTCAGCTGAGAAGGTGATCGGCTGCAGCCTTCCATCCCTCCACGACCTGTACGTCTCCAGGACTGTGAGGCGAGCAGGTCGGATCACAGCTGACCCTGCTCACCCTGCACACGGACTGTTTGAACCACTCCCCTCAGGCAGGAGGCTTCGGTCCATTCGGACCAGAACCTCCCGCCATAAGAACAGTTTCTTCCCCTCTGCTGTTGGACTCCTGAACACTCATAATGCTACCTCATAATGTCTGCTTTGGTCACATTACATCTGTATTATAACTGAATACTCCATCTGTACTGTTTTTCTAAGCTTTTTTTTGTTGTTTTCTATTGTATGGGTGTACACATGTTTATGTTATGTTTTTAATTTTACTTTATTTGTGGGTGTACACAGGTCTCATGTCTTATGTAATGTTCACATTTTTACTTTATTTTTACTTTATTTTTACTTTATTTTACTTTATTACTATTCGCACCTTATGTCGAAGCAAATTCCTAGTTTGTGAACCTCGTTCATTGACATGGCGATAATAAACTGATTCTGATTCTGATACAAAATGAATGCAAAATAAATAAATAAAAATACCGGGAAAAACACCAGTCACGGGTTTTATGGTAAGCCATTGTAGCATATAACCAAACCACTTTATTTTTCTTACTACATATCATCAGCCTTACTCCTACTCCCATTTAGACATTCCTATTGGTCTAAACTAAAATTACAGATGTCTAAAAGACAATACTAGTAAAATATACATTATAGTTTAAGATCAATGCAAATGAGACTAAGAAATAAATTGTTGGTATTCAGCATATTACTGTATATTTAACAAACAGTCTTAGACCGCCCCCTAGTGCCCTCTCCATGCAACAACATAATTCTACAACAGTTTCCACAGTAGAAGACAAGTTGTTCTTCCTAGCCAAAACCAAACAAAAACAAACAAATATAAAAACAAACAAACAAAGCATTTTATTTATCCAGAAGGACATATATCTTAGCCAAAATCAAGATTTCAGATATTACAAACAATTTTTGTTCCATGGTAAATTACATAATTATATTCATTCACGTCTACAGAGCTTTAAATAAGTATAGTCTTCGTATCTAAAATTAATTTAAAACATTGTGTGTATTTAAAATATAATTTGTACAAACAGAAATTCACATTACAGACATCATTGTGGTTTAATGGTAATAATCTGGAGCAGAAAGCACAGTTAAGAAAAATGGGATAAAATAATTTTTCTTACGAAGACTTAGGTTTAGGTCAAATGAATGGCATTCTGGGCAGATTAAATGCTTATTTTGGAAGTAAAAGATTGTTATATTGGAAAGCTCTTCTTAGTATTATATGATAGACCGGCTTGCCATACATAACTAACGTTGAGACCATGATAGCTATTTTGTAGCCACTTGTTGATTGTATACCCTATAGTACTATACAGATATTTATAATTAGTGTTCATGTTATCTAAAAAAAATCACCGTGTAACTGCTGATATTTGCGAACCTTCAGGTGGCGCGATATGATCTAACGGCAGCTCCTCCATCCCTCCTCATCCAAGATGGCGTCAGCTCCAGCATCACTGGGCGGGGCCGCGGCTTCTCGAGCTGCCAGCACTTCCGCCGGGGTCGGGTTTCTTTCAACTCGGTATTTAAATTGAGCTGCAGGGCATCAGCTGCGGCCACATTCAGCATTGTGCCGTGACAGAAAATAACTCTTAGTGCTAGCTTAACAACCAGCTCTTATTTGTGACTGGAAACCCGACAGAGATAATTCACCGTTGGCCGCGAAGCCATTTGTTTGTTTGTTTTTAAAGCGTAGAAGAAGAGCGGGAGCGGCTGAACAATAACGGTGGCTGCACTGGCTGTGACAGCAGCTCGGTGCATCTTTTCTGGGACTCCTCTGCTAGCTCTCCTGGTAACGTGATGCTGTGCCTGGCTAGAATAATTTAGGCTTTTGTAAACGGAGTTTGCTTGTTAATATAGATAAGTAAACAAAAACAAACTCATTTAAACAGTTTTGCTGTAGTGTTTTGCTAGCTAGGACCAATATAAACTGTAAACAGTATGAAAGTAGGATTGATTAGCTAAAACTTAATTTTACGACTAGATTTTAAAATTAGCTTCCTGCTTTATTTTGAGTATTAGGCATTAATAAAAAAAAAGTTATTTTAGTGCAGAAAGTTAGACCTATTTCAGATAGATAGATAGATAGATAGATAGATAGATAGATAGATAGATAGATAGATAGATAGATAGATAGAT